GTATCACCCAACCTCTGAGTCTCACCCTCCGCCTGGGCCCTGCCCACGCCCACCCGCCCCGGCCACGGCTCACCCACTTGGCACGTCCACAGACTCCGTTATGACCGAGTGCCAAGGTGCAGGGGGCGTGGCCGGGGTAGGTGGCAGTGAGGGCGGCGGCACGGCGCGGGCGGTGAGGGCGACGAGCCCCGAGATCCAGCATGCCGCGAGGACCCATCCAGACACTAACCTGCCTGCGGTGTGATCGTAGCTTACTCCTGATTAGGCGCCTGCTTGCCTCCTCCCTCCTTTTCTTCACGGGACCCAGGCACCCTTCACTTGCCTTACTTCACCCATCCCTGCCCCCTCGTCTCCACAGCCGCGATGCAGCCGTGGACGCTGTTGTCGGCCCCCGCCCGTCCCGGCGCCATGACCCTCACTCCTTACTCACCGGCACTTCATGGCGACCCTGTTCCACTTTTCCAATTTTGTACATTGGCACTGTACAGTGTAATCAGCATTCTCTGATTTGAGTTAACGGGGTTGCAGCTTTAGAAACATATTATGTTTTGTTTTAGATTTAAGTTTATGTAGAACATCCCTGCCACCCTGCTACCTGCCACCCACCTGCCCTCGGGTATTGTGCCCGCCAGTTGCCCTTCCCAGCCATCCTCCCTTCCACCGATAACACTCCTCTTAACCCTCCTTTTCTTTGTTTTCTTTGACCCCTTCCCCTTTTTGACGACCAACCTCCGCCATCAATCATCGTATCAGTCATCTTCCCTTCCCTCGTTAGTTTGAATCCTCGTCTGCAATCCTATCCACTCTTTCCTGATCTCCTGAAACCCTTCCTCGGATGTGATCCACCATCCTTCAACCTTCCTCAAAAGGTCCTTCCACTTCCACATGGGTCAGATGTATGCATGTTTATGGTGTGATACCTCTATGTGTATTTCTCTTCTTGGTGTAATGTTTGGCTATTGGATTGTCTATGTTGTGAATGTTCTTTATGAAATCCCTTGTGAATGTTGATCGTTTTCTCATTTTCTCATGAAATATTTATTCTTTCGATGTTCCTTACTTTACTCAGTGACAGTGACCAGACAGATAAATTCAGGTATGGGTAAACAGGTCTACCCTTAGAAGGACACATGCGTCTTTACACCCTATCACACCATAGCTACACCATATACTTTACGCCACGAACACGCCAATGATAACTTAATACAAAACCATACTTCTACTTATGGTCGTGTAGATTTTCACGACTAGTTACTTACTGTGATCTGGAATTACCCAACCCCTTTTTCGCTTGTGGTTTCTGTCACGGGACGTAAATTTCAATGTCGTTTGCTGTAGTTGAGGGTAGGTTTTCCTGTCTCAGTCATGCAGACGTAGACCTTCATAAGAATCTCCTGTCACGTTACCTTGAAACTTGCTATACCCTCAGTATCGTTGCATACACCTACTTTATCTTTTCTGTTCCAATGAGATATCCTCTTCCTTTCCACAGCCACTCTGGTTCATTTTTATGTCTCCCTTGGCCATAGCGTTTACTCTCCATCGGCTTGGAGTGTGAGTTTACTTTTACAACTCGCCGGCCTGATTCCCTCTTTCCCCTAATTTTAGTAGTATCGTCCTCTCTAGATGACTCTCCTTTTTGCTTTCATCGTTCCTCCCTCCTCCTCCTCCTCCTACTGTTAATCCCCCCTCCGATCCCAGCCCCTTTGTCCCCTCCCCCTCTCGCTCCCATTACCCCTGCTGGTGTTGTTCCCCGGGAGTAGTGGGTGGTGTTGCTCCTGGTGTAGCCGATACAAGGCGTGGGTGTAGTGGTGGTTACCTTGCACGCAGTTGTTGTAGTGTGTTGTTTGGGGCCGCAGGTGCGCAGGCTGGAGCGGCCTCCCCCTCCACGCGTTCGCGACGCAGGGCGCAGCGGCGAGTCACCCGGAACGAGTCCCGCTACCATTCCGGTAAGTAACCGATCGGACATCGGCGACCCGATGATGCTCTTTCCTGGAGATCATGAGGTAAGTACTCGGCTTTTTCGTGTTTTGTGATGAATTTTCAGTGGTACCCGGAACTTCGCCAGAAGTCTTGGACGACTTGCATGCATGTACTTGCCGAAGGTATTGCGGCGAAAGTAACGTACTTAGCCCATCGTCTTGAAGTGTCTGAACACTCGAGGTTGCGCTAATAACGGTCAGCTACTTTGTATATGGAAGGTACGGTTGTCACGGGCCAGTGAGCAAGTGGGGCTCGTACCCATAGTTAGCATGACCCACTCGGCCTACGCATCGGTATCAGTGAGCGATAATGAATGTGGCGAAAGGAATGTTTTTGCGGATCATGTTTTTCCCCAATTAGATTTTTTTTCTGTCTTCGTATTATTTCTTTCGAAATTCCCGAAGAAAAATATTCCGTAGAGTGCAACGAGAAGTTGAATATTCATTGGATTTTTCCTGAAAGAGAGAGTTTGCAAAGATCTATAGCGCTGGTGACATAACGTTCTTAGCATATTCCATAGCCTAAGTAGCTTTCCAAAGAGTCATATATTTAAAAGTCGTTTTCTTTGTTCGTTTATTTATCCCATTCATGTGATGGCCATATAACTATAATTGGTATGTTTAACGTTGCACGGATTAGCTTTTGTTTTTTTGTAAAGGACCAGTTTTCTGGCTTAAAACATATCTAAACCCAAAGATTACACAGTAAATTCTGTCAGATTCCATGAGTAGCGCCATTAGACACTGGTGCAAAGATGAAACTGAAAGGAATGTCTGGCGTGGATTCGAACCCCAGTTCCCGGCTGTAATTCTGCTACTTTCAGTCCTATTCATGTCATTAGAGTGCTGATAACTAAAGGCCTGTCTTTCATTACGGAGATTGGGGGTGTAAAAACGGCATTTTACTTTTTAGTTTTGATGGGGAACAGAAAAAAAACACTCAGTGTGCATATGAAGGAACCATAAGTTTATCATATTATATAAGCTCTATAGGCTTATGCTTGCTTTCTTTAAGAAACCGAGCAGATAAGTTAGTAAAGCCTAAGACCATTATCATTGCCAAGTACCGCGGGACGAAGAACGTGGAAAATATAGTAATCCTGATTTACGATCGATAATAGCATCGGGCATATATGACAAGCATTACTTTACTAAGGCATATTAATAGAGGGCGAAATCCGTGTGAATTCTGGCGAAACTTGTGTATAGTGTATAGAAATCATGGTTATGTACACGTTGAACGTTGATTTAAATACTCTCGAAAGAAGAAGAATGGGCTTCGTCATTTTTTTTTTCTTGGGTGATTAGAAATATCGATAACTGTGTTATTTTAAAGTAAACCTCAGACAAATTGCGGGTCCGAAAGTTATTTTCAAAAGTATCCCCTCGTCTGGTTCCATTTTCTCTGTAAGCAACTATACTCAATCGTTTTCTACGAAGGGGATCCTAAAATAAACTGGAGGTGCTGAACAAGGTTTTATTTTTTTATGCCTTGAGGATGAGCGATGGTAACTTGGATTGTGTTCATTTGGTTATCGTAGGGCATATAATAGTTTGATAATGACAGAGCTAATGCCAATAAACTACATGATTCGTTTTGCTCTTATAATTATTATCACCGAGATATTTCTTGCCCGTATTTTCTGTTGGGATTTTGACTCGTGTTGTTTGTAATATTGATGTTGATGATGATTATTATAACTGATTCTTATAACTTATTATAACTGTTATTATTGTTTTTTTGTATTATATTTTCGTTATTGTTATTTAAATTAATTGCGAGGAAGTATACTATAATTGTTATTAGTAGCATCATTGAGTATTTTCATTTTTATGATGATGGTAATGATTTCCAACTTTGCTTTTATTTTATTTGCTTTTATTCATTTATTTTGTTATTATTTACATTATTGTTAGTTTCTTGTTATTATTGATATTCTTGTTTTGTTCTGTTATTGATATTATTATTGCTAGTTTTATTGTTTTATTGTTGTTATTATTGCTATTATTATTATTATTATTATTGTTGTTTTTTCTAATGTTATTGATAATTTTATCGTTATGTTTATTGTTTTTGTTATTATTTTTGTTGCTGTCTCTCTCTCTCTCTCTCTCTCTCTCTCTCTCTCTCTCTCTCTCTCTCTCTCTCTCTCTCTCTCTCTCTCTCTCTCTCTCTATATATATATATATATATATATATATATATATATATATATATATATATATATATATTTATATATAGCTGTCTATCTATCTTTATTTATTTCCATCTCCTTCTCTCTATCTATCCCCCTCCACCTGCCTCCCAGTCTCCTCAACAACCTCAAGAAGAGGCCGGTCGCCCCACCGCGCCCTGGCCAGCATAACCTGCGCGAGCGAAGGCAGGTGGAGGCAGCGTTTTTAACTGGGTCAGGGGTGAGGGTCGTGCTGATTCTGTGCTGCAGTCGAGGTCGTTGCTCATGACTCATTCACCGTCGAGGGAGCGCGGCGAACCAGGAGGGCAGCGGAAGGGGGAAGTGTGGGGCTACTTCGGAGATAATGGGCGTTCGCTGTGATTTTCGCTGAGACACGTTTGTTGGGGTCGATGGAGGGGTTTTGGCTTAACGTCGATCCTGCGGTGGGAAATGAACGGGCTGAGTATGTTCTCTGGGATACCAAGGACGCTGGGAACCCCTACTCCCTCTCTTTCTACCCCCTCCCCTCTCTCTCTCTCTCTCTCTCTCTCTCTCTCTCTCTCTCTCTCTCTCTCTCTCTCTCTCTCTCTCTCTCTCTCTCTCTCTCTCTCTCTCTCTCTCTCTCTCCTTCCTTCCTTCCTTCCTTCCTTCCTTCCTTCCCTCCCTCCTTCCCTCCTTGCCCTCTCCCTGTTTCTTCTCTCCTTCATTCCTCTTGCATTCTTACTATTATCTCTCTCTTCTTTTATCCTCTCACTGGTTATTTCTAATCCTATCTTTCTCTCCCCCCCTCTCTCTCTCTTTCCCTCCCCATTTCTTCCACTCTTTCTCCCTCATCTCCCTCTAT